ATGCATATTGAAGAGAAACTCACGAACTGACTTAAGGGACCAGGAGAAGATCTCTTCATTTGCTCCATATAGAGCTATAAGACCTTCTAGTGGAATGAGTCATGAAATATCATGTTATATTATTTATTTTCCGCAAGAGGTCGACAGAGACACTCATATTAACCCAATGTGATATATTGTGAGCTGATTATTACATCATGTATTGAAGAGTTATTTTGAATTTAAATTTAAGGCATGTGAACAATGATTTAAATTATATTATTTATTGATACAAATCTAGAACTTTAAAAGTAAAAAATCTCTTGCATTACTATATATATATATATATATATATAAATAAATTAAAAGGTGCAATGTGTAAAAAAGTTGAGTATATTAACAGAATTGCAATATGACATACATAACTATGTTTTCAATGGTGTATAAAGAACTTACTTAATTAACCGTAATGTTTTTATTATCTTAGAATGAGACATTTATAGCTCCATAACCGCGGGAATCCCCGCCTTCTATGAAGGTCGCCATGTTGTGACGTCATATTCCTACGGTAGCCGAACGCGAACAACGCGTTTCATCACTACCTTGAAAGAGAAGTAGCGGAAAGCTGGAAGCTAGCCATACACTCGTGAGTAGTGACTTTTCCCTTGTGAGTGGTGTAAAATATGTAGTTGGGATTGTTTCATGTAATTTAGTTCTCCCTCGCTGTGTTATGGGTTTGTTATGTTGGGGATAGATGTGCTGTTACGTTCGTGAGACAGCTGATGATTAGTATTCATGTCATTGACCGTAAAACAGTACGTTACAGGAATCACTGACCCGTCGATAGAGACTTAGATCACTAAAGTCGATCGCGAAGAGTTTTCAAAATCAGAGAAAAAAGCCTATTGTGTGTAGTAAATAGTATCTATGGGATGCGGAGGTGCGCGCGTCAAAAATGACATGATTGTAACAGCGCGCGCACTTCCGACCTTTGGACTCATGCCGACGCGTCCCAGCTCAGCCACAGTAACAGCTCATATGGGCTCTATGCACGGCGTTATTTCCGGTGAAGGATTAAGGATGCTCGATAACTTCCGCCGATCATAGAGTCCAATGCAATACCGAGAATTTATATTGAATTTTATACTCCATGGTTATACTAATGAAACGTTAGTCACAAAAACAGATAAAACAGACACCCCTCGTTGTGTTTATGCTTCTTTTTAAAATTATATTAAATAAACATAACTATATATAAAATTACATCTAAATGTATGTACGTTTTGTTTCAAAGACGGGAGGACAGTAAATATTGAAGACTCTGCCATAATCCCGTTTCCTCCGGTTTTCCTCCGCTTTAATCTACACAACCGGAAATGGACGAGCATCCTTACGTCAAATGCGGAACTTATGCGTGCATATAGCCCATTAGCCAGCTAAACTATTACTACCCTGTTAGAAAAAATATATAGCTGCTCCCTCGCTGTATTATGGGTTTGCTATGTGGGGAGAAATGCGCTGCTGGTTACGTTTGACTGATTACTATTATTATATTAAATTATATATTAAAACCCTTGATCCTCACCTGACTATGGCTTTGTAAACAGTATCCATAATGTGGTTTATAATGGACTGTGGTACAGAAACAGTGACAATTTTACACACTCTTGGCTTACTCTGGCTATTCTCTGCTGTCTCAGCCGACGAGATGTTTGTCCCGTTTTAGCAACCGTAGCTTCTTCGAAAGGGAGGGGTGAGCGGTGGGCTGAGCCCTTAGTGCAAACCTGGTGCAAACTCGCAACCGAACCACTAGATGTCGCTAAAAATTCCACATTGCTCCTTTAAATGATATATGAGCTTTCTGGACAAAAAAAAAAAAAGTATAATTTTAAGGCTTTGTGTGATTTTTACCAGCAAAGGAAGGATGCAAGTTGCATGGAGTGACTATAATATATACACACCATGTAAAAACTGTTTTGTTTCATTTCAACTTCACAAATAGAGCATTAAGCAAAAAATACATTAAAAAATTCAATTTATTATAAAAAGTGTTTATTAACTGATAAGTTACGATCAAACTCTAGAAAAATGGTCAACACATACATTTCCTATAAACTGAGGAAATATTTATATACAGTCAAGTTTGAGTTTGTGAGAACTGTACAGTGTGCAAACAACAGGGAGACTCATATGCCAGGAAAAAAGCCAAGGTCAACCGGATTAAACCACAGACATGCTGTCAGGTTTCAGAGCGACGTCAACGAAGCCAACTTCTGTGGACGAATTCTCTTCATGCATAGTGCTCCCCGGCCTCCAACATCCATAAATACAAAGAAAGGGAGACCCACCGCCAGATCCAATGTGCCGCTTCATCTCCCGTGCAATTGTAAAAAAATTAACATTTGAAAAAAATAATCTAACAATCATGTCTCTGATGTTTTGATAGGCCAAATTAGACCTCCTTCACTTTACCATTGTGGGCAAATCCATTAGTGTAGTGCACATTGCCGTTTTCCAAGTGTTTGCCATTGGTCACTACCACAGGCTCAATCACAGTGGTAATGCCATTCTGTTTGGGTTTGTCCTCAATAGAAACAGGTAGTCGCTTGCCCTTTACGTAGGCCTGGATCCAGAAGTTTGAGAAGAGGATAAAGAAAAACGTGCCGTAGATCAAGATGAGATGAATGAAGAGGGGAACTTGGAATTCACACTTTTCCATGAAGTAATACTGAGAGATATGGACAGTCACCAGCACAAATTGAATCTGTGGAAAACACATGGAAAGAAATTGAATTATAGCTCCATCATTTTAAAGTGCCCCAACAATGCTTATCATCTTTAAATGTAGTGTGTAATATATAGCTGTTTGTGAATGTAAACGGTCAGCAGAGTTTCAAAGATCAGTGTGCACGATAAATGGAGTGGAGTTTTTGTCTCCCAAAAGAAAGAACCGATTCTGAATCACCTGAAACTAGTCGTCAGTAACTCCAGTCTTACTACGGAGGTTTGTAACAAATTTGCATAACGTCAGCCTATGGTCTTCATTGGCTGTCTGTAAACAACGTCTACTACCCGCCCTCAAACACGTGTTGTCAACATATCGGAAAGACACAATTTTCTGCGCTGTGAAAGCCCGTGCACTTTGATGCACTTCCAAAAGAAAAGGACTCAGGCTTGAATTGATGTGGTAAAACTAATCCCATCGTTACTGTTTGTATCACGGTGTATATAAGTGCCGAGGAAGCCTCTGGAGCTGAAATTCAGATATTGTAACCGGCTTTTCATTTCCGACAACCGCTGTTAGCTTCCGTGTATTGATGGAAAGGAATATAAATCGAATGTAATGACAACTGTAAGACAAGTATAAATGATAATTTTGCTTCAGTCTCAAATTATGGGTGCCATTTTGGTTACACATCGATGCAAATGCAGTTCACGTTAAATCACACAAGATTAAGAGTTTAAATGAGTTTCTACTAACCAGTTGGATAGCTGTCATGTACTTTTTCCACCACAGATACTTCTGGAAGCGCGGGCCTGCAGCAGCTAGACCGTAGTAGGTGTACATGATGACGTGGACACAAGCGTTCACCAAAGCATGGAAAGAACCCATGCCACCGACTGCCATTTTCACATGAAAATAAATGGAAGTAATTGAAATTAGACATCTTTACACCAGTTAATAGAACCTAATGTTATTCCATTGTTTATACTTTGCCAACATGCAGAAAAGAAACGTCTTTTGTAGGAACAAATAATGCCCCCTAATTTCACAGGCTTTTTTATTTTCATATGAAAAAACAGTTAAATCCTATTTGAGTCTTGAAGCAAAACCAGTTAATAACTACTGATCTATTAAAGTACCCAGCAGGCAATTTTGCATTTAAAAGACGTCTAATAGACGTCAGAAATTAGGCTGTCAGTGAAAAGCCCAAGTATAGACATATAGACGCACAGACGATGCATGTTAAAGTCATGAAAACAAACACCTTGTAATCACTGTTGAATTTGCTTACATGATGGAATATTATACATATCACACAATGCCAAAAATGACATGAAACCAAATTCAAGGTTATTTTGGCAAGAAGTGGGTTACTCGTAGCTGGACTATATCGGGTCTATAAGTTAACCTAGACAGTGAAAAGATGGCTATTGCTTGCTGGTCAGTGACTACTATAGTGTTGATAGACTCACCAGGAGTAAGAGTGATGCCCCACCACCAGGTCCAGGGCAAGATGGAATGATGGAAGATATGGAGGAACGTCACCTGACTGTGCTTCTTTCTCAACACAAAAAACACCTGGATCACAGACAAAGTTCTTGTTAACTCTTGGAAGCTACTGTATATAGTGCCAGATGTCTTTGCATATCCTATTCTAAATACAGCATTAAAACACACAAATTTAAAGGGGTGATGAACTGAGAAATCAAATTTTCCTTGAGCTTTTGATATCTAAGAGGTTATCATATTATAAGAATATCCTGTAAGTTTCAGAACTGAAAACGTCCTTGTTAGTCCAATAAAAGCTTTTATTTACACCAGCCTCTGAAAACGTCTCGTTTTGAAAAGTGGGAAACTATGACGTCGAAGGGGTTAAAACACCACCCCCGCAGAAGAAGATCAACGCCTACTTCAACACGGCCGGTTTAGCCCCGCCCACCGATTCGCGCATTACGCGCATAGCTAAGTAGCCTACGTGCCTACCTCGTGATGACAAACCGGATCGATCTAACGAGCAATACAGAATATTGTGCAGCGCCTGGTTGTGGAAGAAGACAGTCGCTGACTTCATGAATAAACTTTATTTTTAATGACGTTCCAGCTGATGAGAGTAAAACATCGTCGTCTGTACGCTTCATTTCACTGAGGATAGTTTTGTAAACAAGACTGGATTTGCAGACCGATTAAGAGTAAAGAACGTGCTGTGCCGTCTATATTGGATCTGACAGGAATTGTGCAACACACGGACTCTTGGTTGAACATGTATGGGCGAATCCGGTTGCCATTTGACAACATTGGACGGACGTTTTCCCCCACATACACCGACGGGTGAGTTAAACTCATTATAACATGCAAAACTATTATCCACTCACAGCAATGGGCGTTTATTTACAAGTCTTCAGTGCGACACGCCCATAAAAACCGACTGTTTTTCAGGAAGGCTCACAACTTGGGTACAAAATAGCCTATTACTTATTCATACGAACGTCTTAAGTTGACCTCAGACAACAATATAATAACATTTTAAAAGCCAGTTCATGACCCCTTTAAGGCATGAAGACAAATTATTCTTACTGTATCTAGAAGTTCAACATATTTGGAGAAATAGAATAACCAGGCTGCTCGAACCATCTGGGGATATAAAGACAAACACAATTAGTAATATGCATTACCATTCAAAAGTTTTGAGTTTGTAAGATATTTCAAATATGTTCACCATGTCTGGATTTATTTGATCAAAAACACCATAACTAGTAATATTATTACCATTTAAATGACTGTTTTCTATTTTATTATATTATATTTTAAAATATAATTTATCCCTGTGATGGCAAAGCTGAGTTAGTCCAATTTTCAGTGTCACATGATCCTTCAGAAATCCTTTTTATTTGCTGATTTGATGCTCAGAAACAATATAGCTTACTACAGTTGTAAACAGTTGTGTTGCTTACTATTTTTGTGGAAACCGTGAGGCTTTTTAATTAGAATTCTTTGATGAATAGAAATTTTAAAGGACAAGCAGTAATTGGAAATATAATTTGAGCAATTGAATGTATTCCGTCTGAATAAAAGTATTAATTTCTTCCAATAACATAACATGTTTGAATGAAACAAACTTACTCTGAGAGCTTGAGGACTGTTGGAGGTGTCACAGAGATCACATCTCCATGTGTACGTTGTTCCCCAGCCAGACATCAAGAACTATAAGTGTCAGACAGATCGAAAAAAATTAAACAAAAGCACAATAACATGGTTTGTTCATCTTTTCTCATCTGTCATAATTTACTCACGCTCATGTCTTTCCAAACATCTGATTTACTTTCATCTGTGGAACACAAAAGACGTTTATCAGAATGCTCACGCTGCTCTTTTTCATATAAGAAAGTGAATTATGCCCATAGCTCAAAAAAGCACCATAATAGTATCATAAAAATGGACCATAATGTTGTCACGTCTGCTTTTATGATACTTTTATGAGCCTATTGGCATCATTCACTTTCATTAAATGAAAAAGAGTAACTTGAAGATTCTGCTAAACATATCCTTTTGTGATCTACAGAAGAAATACTAATGTATCGTGAGCAAATTTTCACTTTGAATCTCTAACAGTTCTCCTCAAAGACATCAGTTCAGGTACATAAATAAGTTTATTTACTCTCCCAAACACAAAAAAAAGTAAAGGTTTCCTACCTCATAAACAATATAGGAGTTGAAGGCCACCATAGAGAAGTTATAGACAATCATAGTTGTTTTGAGGCTGAAAGGTTTGCGATTGGCCATGTATCGTGGTCCCACACATAAAACGAAGAAGACGTATCCCAGCAAGATGACCGTCATCTGAATTGGACTCTGCATCAGCGGATAATCACGCACTCTGGCATCTGAGAAAATCACAAATCAACCAATCAGCCACATGAAACAAGCCTGTATTACATCTTTCTAAAGTAGATTCTACTAGTGGCCAAACTCTAGTGCTGTTTACAATAAATTTGAAATGGTTTTTAATAGCATAACACATAAGCCAGTTGATATTAGTGTTTTTTGCTTATCTAAAAAGCTTGATGCATTGAACGCTTACCAGTTCTTTTCAGAAGAAAGTCGTAGAACCCCATGACGCTCGAATACACCTCTTGAAACATCTTGTCTTTATTTCTTCAGGCAACCAATAAACTGGAGGGCATAAGTAAATGTGTTAAAACTAGGCAAGCAAACAATGATAATCCAGCTAGCAAAGGGTTGGTCAGAGAAATATGCCCTTATCAGGAGGACAGTGGAGTCTGAGTCAACAATGGCAGCCCAGCAAAAGCAAACAAGAAACAGCTGGCCATGTGAACAGGATACAAAGCCCAACCTGAGTGGCTCATGATGTTACCAAAACCAAACTATTACGATTATCAACTATACAATTGAGTGTACTATAATATGTGTAGTAATCACACATTTTATCCCAAAATCTTAATTTGAATGTATAAGGGAAATCAGTCCTGTAATTGATCAGGGGTCAACATTTTGCCTTCACTAGTTTATTCTAAATGGTCATCCAATCACGTTTTTGTTTTTTAATGAATAAAATATTAATACATAACTATAGGTACTTTTTTATTGTACAAATATAAGAGACAACAAATATAGAATGTATTACTACACATACAATACAAATATTAGTACTATTATAGTACTTTCTACAAATATACCATGAGGTCTCTTATATGAAGTTCTGCATGTATAATTGCATAAAAATGTGAAAAATGTCAAATTCAAAAGAGACGACAATAGTTTAGCAGCACATCAACTTTCCAAAAGTATTTTCACATCTGTTTCAAACTGCAAACTGTTCAAAGGGCTTTAAACGATTCCAGATGATGAATAAGGGTCTTATCAAGTGAAACAATCGCTCATTTAAAAATAAATAAATAACAAAGTTTAAGTTTTATAAACTAAAATGCTCGCCTTGCTCTGTTCTGTGATGCGCGTTCGGGACTCTCCTGTTCGAACTCGTTTATCAAAATGAACGAATCTTTTTTCGTGTCATTTAGTTCATTCAACGAACAAAATGAACGAATTGACTCAGGAAAAGATTTGTTCATTTTGATGAACGAGTTCGAACAGGAGAGTCACGAACGCGCATCACAGAACAGAGCAAGGCGACCATTTGAGCTTATAAAACTTAAAAAAAATTTTTTTAAATTGATCGATCATTTCGCTTGATAAGACCCTTATTCATCATCTGGAATCGTTCAAAGCCCCTTGAACAGTTTGCACTGAAACGGTCTTTTGGACCTTGAACCGTTTGGTTCCCAGTAAAGTGCATTATATGGAGAAAAATTCAGGAATGTTTTCATCAAAAACCTTAATTTCTTTTCCACTGAAATAAGAAAGACATGGATATCTTGGATGACATGGGGGTGAGTAAATTATCAGCAAAAGTTTTTTTCAAAGTGAACTACTCCTTTAATGGCAGTGACATATTTTAAGATCAGTGCAAGTTGCTTTCAGTTAAAACAGCTCAAGCATGCATTTTAGTCTGGGACTAGCTTAAGCCTTGTCCGTGAAACAATAGGATAGGATAGGATGACAAAGCACACTAAACAGACCCTTCACTGTTTCTCTGCCAACACATCTAATGCATCACCACCTGTTTCATCAGAAGAGAACAGAACCATCATAAAGACACATGAGGAGGGAGACACACATTTGTTGAAATCAAAAAATCTACTCAAATTCTTACTGTCCTCTCACTTTTAGAATCAACACAAAGCTGATGTCATCGGTATAACCTAAACTCCAATGAATAGTGCAATAGTGAAAAGCCAGTCAAACTGGTGAGGTGGAGAAACATAGATATCTATCCTGTCATAGAATCAGATTAACTCACTAGACAGGAACTGCCAATGACAACTTCACTAAACAGTCACGTCGACAGTCAATCCAACACAGAAAACATAATCATAAACAGAAGATACACACACACACACACACACAGAGTTTCAAAGGTGGTTAAGCTGACCAGATCAAATGTCTCATCACACTTCTCAGTCACCTAAATAAGGAGAAAATTATCCCAAGAAAGAATTTGATAGGAGAGAGTGAAGGACTCATGCTCATAATACAGCCTACAAAAAATACAAAAGTATGTTTTAAGCTTACCTGTTGTCTTTGTGTTGATACAGTCAGTCAACCCAGCCAAAAATAAATAAATAAATAAATAAATAAATATAGTTAAAAAATATATATAAAAAAATAAAAATACTGCCCCACAGGGGCAAATAAATGGATGACAGACCCAAGTAAGCAGTCTCTGAACTTTAGTTCTTTTCAGTGTCCTTATCCTTTCTTTCAGCGGCCCTCAATCACAGCCGTTTCCCCCAGTGATAGAATAAGTGACAGGCCAGTGGGAGTTTTGCCAAGGCAGAGACGGGCCACGCTCAGAGGAGTCACTCCCAGTGCCTAATATAAACCTGAGCAGCAGCTCATTGAAAAGAGACAACACCCACCTGGTTTCGGGACTGTAGCCTGCATTCAACTGACTGGAACCGCCCTCTGAAACCCACCTCAAAACTCAACGATTGGCTCTTTCTAGAGTGAGGCTGGTCACTGATTGGCTCCAATACTGGTTAGGTTTTTATTATGCAGTGGAAGTAGGCGAGAATTGAGCAGAGACTGCTCAACAATGAAAAGTCTTTTGTTTCCCTTGGGTCACAAATATGGGCCTATATGCAAAGACATATGGAAATGGAAATATATAGGCAACATATGAAAAAGAAAAATATAGGGTATAGTATTTTTCATATATCCTTGCTTTTATATCAAAACATGCACTCTTAGATAAAAGGTTCAACGCTAATATATATTTTATTTAGAATATCAGATATATGAAATATATATATATATATATATATTTCATATATGAAAAATAAAAATATCAGATATGAAAAATATCTATATATATATATATATATATACATATATTAGATATTTTTCATATATCTGATATTCTAAATAAATGACAGGGTATAGTAAATAAATAAATAAAATAAACCATAATGTGTGTAGAATAAGTGTTAGTGTAAGTGTTTTTCATTAGTGTTATTTCATATTATTTCATAAATTTAGTACTTCCAACTTATTATATTTTAATTATTTGCCAAGGCATTTTTTCATCTAATTTTTACATTTTAGATTTCAGCTTTAATTCAAAGAACATACAATTTTAATAGCTTTAGTTAACAATAACAACACATAATATCATGTGGAAAAGTTACATTTTTATATTATTTTTAGTCATTCATGTTTCAAATTTAGTTTTAGTAAATCTAGTACTTCCAACTTATTATATTTAAATTATTTGCCAAGGCATTTTTTTTAAATCTAATTTTTACATTTTAGATTTCAGCTTTATTTCTATGAACATAAAATATATTTTATTAGCTTTAGTTAACAATAACAATATCAATCTTGATATAGTGAAATTGAATCGGTTTAATTTTACGTGTTAATGTGTTACACTAATGGCTAATCTGAGACTATATTTAAATTTCTAGCTAGATGTGCTGTACCATGATGTTTTAAATCATAACAGCAACAGCCGACAGACATATCAGATATATATCTATGTCTATATCAGTGAGCCCTCTAGTTCTGAGACACCATGGTCCTTGTGGCACTTGTTCTACACAGGGACACTACCAGTCAGTTTCAATGGATTCCAGTAGCACTGGTCTGACCCGTTCCTCAGACGTTGAGGACAGGGTGTGGGATCCTCAAACTGACGCATTCTTGTAGCAGTCCGGGAGGAGGTGAAGAATGACAAAAATCCCGACGTGAGTGGGGAGTCTCTGAGCTCGAACCATTTTCTCTGACACAAAAAGCAGTTTGAGAACCGGCACGCTGACTGTCATCCCAATATCGTGTTTCACGTCTACATAAATACATTTTCTGACCTTGGTAAACTTAGCATTGATCGTTTGAGACTAAAACACCCCTTTCTACAGTAAAAGCTCTGATATTGTTATAACTAGTTGTCTGAACTTCCTGTGGTTGGGGACAAACGCTGAGCCAATCAAGAGATAAGTCAATAAGACAATCAGAAATAAGCATCCAATTATATACCTTCACACATATATGGATAAAAGACTTTTAGACAAAAGGTTCAACGCTGTTCAATATAGGACCTTAGGGTCCTTGATTGAATTTTAAAGAGCCCGTTATACCAATAAAGTTCGAAATATACTCATTAATACGTTCATATTGAGCCTCAAAATGTGCAAGTATTTCACTTATGAGAACATTAGACTACTGTTGCTACCAGATGGCGTGATAAAAAAAAAAGCATCCGCAGATAACATTCAGTTTGATTCTGCGATATTAAAAACCACAGCACTTGAAGGGGTGGATTTCTGACAGGGGTGGCATGGCAGGCATCCCCTGATAATCTTATATTTTATGCTATTACTTAACCGAGATTGGTGTTCTAAACCTATTTATGTAATCCAACACACAAAACTATATCATTTTAATGTTTTGCTGCTCACCGAGGTTGCATTTATTTGATCAAAAAATACTAAATATTATTACATTTTAAGATAACCGTTTCTATTATAATATATTTTAAAATGTAATTTATTCCTATGATGGCAAGTCTTTTCACATGATCCTTCATAAATCAATCTAATTTGGTGATTTGATGCTTTAGGAAACTTTTTTATTTGTCCTGTCAATCAATAGAGGTGCGATTTTCTTTGTGTGACGATAAGTTGCACTCACAGGAATTCTTGTTACATTCCAGATGGTTATCATCACCTTATTCTTTATACCCGAGGATCATATACATTTCCTTCACTGTACTTTCACCCAATACCTGACTGACCGAGATAAACATGACTGTCTATTTGTGCATCATCTGGTGACCTCTGACCTACAGTATTTTTCCCCATCGTTTCCCTTTCCAGTACTATTTATGCATCAACTTCAGACAGAAAACCAACTTCTACATCACATTGGACATTTGATCAATTGCGTCGCCAGCCCCAGCAATGATGGAGATCAGGTAGACACCAAATGTTTCATAATACACAATTATGCAGTTAGATGTATTGATAAATGACTACCATCCCATAGATACTCAGAATATGTACATTTTTAGAAGATCTCTTTCGTTTAGCCAATAATGCGTGTTAGAAGAACTGTCCTCAACACACCTAAACCAAGAAAATAAAGGATGTCAACCCAAACCACAGCTATACTCAAATTGTAGGTCAAACTGAACAAGGAAACTTATACACTAATGACCCCGGAGAGTCTGAGAGCACAATTGGTCAGACATGATTCAATTTAAAGAATCAGCCATCTCTCATTTCTCTCGTTACTCTACTGAATAAACCTTTGCTTCTCGTTCCAGCCCTTGTGACTGAAAACTGAATTAATGTAATCTTGAATTACATTAAATGGGCGTGTTTTCAGGAATCAAACTGATGACTAGACCTGAATGGAAGCTATCCATAAGAGCTGCTAAGATGCTGGTGAGAGACTTTCAGAAACAGGAGGGTGCTGGTCTGCATTCATGTGCTAATACAGACACATCAGCAGATTCTGAATAGAAATGATGACTGATTCCATTCAGTATCCTTCGGTATCAGTCTCACACTGGCTCAAAATAAGACATCCTTTAAATTGTATAGAGGGAATAACCACTATTATTCCCTAAAAACAAGTAGTGAAACTGAACAGTTTCTTTCTAGATTTCTTTTTCGGGCAAATTTAAGTAGCTCATAAACCACTAAAGGTAAAAGTTGGATTGTAAATGATAGGGACTGATATCACACATTAGATTTATCTTTAAATATTTGTTAAAAATTGAGAACTAAGACTCCTAAACACTAAGATTTTAATTATTTTATCTACTTAAATGCGACATTTTTTGTGTATACATTTGACATTTCAATGGATTTTTTTTTCTATCAACAAAGATTTTAGGAGGAATTAATATAAATATACACTATAATTCAAAAGTTTGGGTTGGTAGCCTATTCTGTAAGATTTTTTTTAATGTTTTTGATGCACACCATAATTTCTATGCTTACCCATGGTTCATTTATTTAAAAATACAATAAAAAAGATTTCAGAATTTATTTTAATAGGCTGATTTTTATATTTATGTGGAAACTGTGAATTTTTTTCCAGGATACTTTGATGAATAGACAGTTCAAAAGATCAACATTTATTTGAAATAGAAATCCTCTCTAATATTATAAATGTCTTTATCTGAATAAAAGTATTAATTTCACTAACTTAACGGTAGTGTATAAGAGAAGGTGTATTAGGTTATGTAAATGATCATGGTTTCTTTTAAATCACATTTTTTGCTAGTTCATTTTAAATAGTTCTCTAGTGTGGAAAATTATCATTTTGTGATCTCTTAAAGTCATAAAGCTCCAATCATGCCGTTTAAATTAGTTAGCAAGTCACATGTTTATGCATTTGTTGTTTATTCTAATTATTTAGGCATTACAATGGATTTTTAATTTTAGCCAAATGAATTGATGTCATCTAAAAGACACTTTGTTCAATTCACAGGTTCTATTGCACAACCTCAATTTTGCAACACTTCACTTGATCTGAAATCTTGTAAATCACTGTGAACAACAGATATTGGAGTAGCCGTGTCAATCAACGCAAACACAGCCACCATTAAAAACGTCACCAATTGAAACTTAAGTAATACAACACCATGAATGAATAATGAACTCAGTCAGAAGAGCAAAGAGGATGTCTGACGACTGCAACCACAGAGAACAGAGATCCACACCTCACCCAACATTTATGCAGCAACGTCATCAGCGACCCAAAGCGATTATGTCACTAGAACACACGGAATGTTTTCTATCTTCACGGAATGTTTTCTTTCTTCACGGAATGTCTTCTAAGAAAATCCGCCACACCACTTTAAGCATTGCAAAAGTCAGCATGAAACGGAAGTTGTGATATTTTTTTCCCCTATTGTGACATGTGCCAGAGTATGGAATCTTGGGTCGGCCACAGAATAAATCATAAGAAAGGCATCTCTCGATTCTGCCCTTTTTTTTTTAGAATTGCGTGATATAAGCACAATTGCAAGTTATAAATTCAGTAATGGGAGTAATAAACTCGCAATTCGGAGTAGAAAAAAAAGAGTCAGAATTACATTATATTAACTCACAATTGTGAGTTAAAGTCAGAATTGTGAGAGCTTAAGAATTTTTAAGCTTATATCTCACAATTCTGAGCAAAGACGTCAGAATCATGAGATATCAACTCAGAATAGTGAGAAAAAAAAAGTCAGAAATGGCAGTTTATATCAAGCAATAATGGCTTTATAACTTGCAATTGAGCTTATATGAACTCTGAAACTCTGAAAACAAAAGTCAGAATTGAGAGATGTACAACTGTAAAGTGACACTCCCAATTGTGAGAGAAAAAAAAGACAAAATTGTGAGATAAATAGTCGCAATTACCTTTTTTTTTTTATTCAGTGGCAGAAACAAGCTTCCATAATCTGAATAAAACGGCTTTTTGAAAAGAAAAAAAAAGAAAGAAAATGTATAGGGCAAAACCTGGTTTCAGGAATTGATAAGATGGTTATGGTTTGCTATTGGTTGATCTCATGTGAGTGACAGTAAACCCAGTAAAAACATCATCAGAGAAGAATTATTTGATTAATAAACGTGTATTCCAAAATATTATGAGCACAGATAAATCATTTATAAGAAAAAATACTGTAATTCCATAAAAAAAATTACAATAGTACATTTTGATTTTGATTTCATAGTGACTTTAAAGCAGTAAAGTTAAACTTTCTTATGAATCTGAAAGGCAGTACTGGTCCCAGAACCAAAACCAGCAAGTGGTCACGCTTGATAGTAGGACATGGGTTGCTACTTAGACCAGCTAAAAACCAGCTAGAACGTTCTAGAACACAAAGGCCAGCTTAAGCTGGATTTTCCAGAAAAGAGGACATTAATCATAGCCTACATGTGTGAGTTGACAGCAAATTTCTTCATACTCTTTTCACCACTGCAAAAGACATAGTAACATTTGCTGAATCTGAGAAACATTTAAGTCTGAAAAGCAACTGAACACTCAATGAACTTAAAAGATGCAGTTCTTCAAATCTGTAACACCTCTACCACCTAAAACTCAATCCAAATCCATCAGCACTCAAAAATTTACTCAAGAAACTGTTAAGTTACATTATTAGTGTTCCAAGTGTCACATGGTAATGTTAATTAGCCAGTTATCTGTGATTTTAGTAAGAAGTGAAAAGTAAGAAGACTATTCTACATTCAGAGAGATGAAAATAAAGAAAATACCACGATTTTTCTTGCATTTTCAATTAATTGACTGAAAAACATTTTGTGGAAAGTGCATCGTGGGTTCATACACAGGTCACCAGAGTTCACCGAGTTAGGCAAGGCAACAAGGCAGAATATTTAACCCATTTGTGATGTAGGACTATTACCTTGCTGATACAGTATTGTAAAAGCCACGAATGTCAATTTGCAGTATAAATTACGTAAAAGTTTACATTTACAAAAGATACATCAAATTCCCACCTGATCATTCAAGCGTCATGATACAGGAAGCGGTCTGGTTGTCCGGAAGGTCTGGAATCTGGAATCTGGATTGTTTTTGTATCCATTATTTTCTGAGAAATTTCTTTTGATTTATTGTGTCAATAAGTTTGTATCAGGACACCTTTAAAGAGTTGTTTCTGATGAGAGCCATTAAACATGATTTATACGGATAAGCGTTATTATTAAATCAATATATATGACTTTGATGAGCTGAATGGTCTCTGTGTGCTGCTGCTACTCCGGTATTGTGTTGTAAGTGACACCCAGTAGGCGTCGCTGTAATACAGGGAAAAAAAGTACACTTTCCACAAACAGTCTAAAACAAAGTACCTGAAAAAAATTATTATTCAATTATAAGTAGTCAGAATCGATGGCCTAAATAGGATAATATATATAAACATAGTTATGTATGAATTTTCAGCATCATTACCCCAGTGTTGTGTCTCATGATCCCTTCAGAAGTCATTCCATTATTTTGATTTGATAATCAAGAAACCTTTCCTCTTATTATCATCAATATTGAAAACAGTGGTGCTGCTTAACATTTTTATGGAAGCAGTGATAACTTTTTTCGGGATTCTTTGATGAATAGAATGTCCAAATAGAAATAGAAACCCTTTTAAATGTCCATACTGTCACTTTTGATCGATTTAATGTGTCCATGTTGATTAGAAGTGTGATCCCAAACTTTTGAACGGTAGTGCAGCTATAGTTAGGGTTAAAATTGTAAAATATGTGATAACCAGTTTTGGGGAAACTTTTAAAAGTAATGCCTTAAAATATTGTTTTACTTCCTAAAAAAAAGTAACAAATTGCATTATATTAGTTACTTTGTATGAGAAGTGATGCATTACGTTTCTTTCGCGCTATTTTTAATAACCTGGGCTGGGTTTGCTTGTTTGTTTTTTAATAACAAAAAAAAGTTATATTTTTGGCAAATTTAAAGGCCCTTTCACACCAAAAGTGCAAAAAGGAAATGTAAAATACAAATCTGTACAGTAGAGGGCGCAGCTCAAACAAACCTTTCAGCTGTGCTGCAGTTCTGAATTGCAGAAGAATAGGACAGGAAAAGAAAGAAAAGTAATGTTTATCTAAATGATTGGATCATGGAAGGTCAGTTGCAAAGACATTGGTTAGTAAAGTGAGATTAAATTAAAAAGCAAATTTGTGTAATTAACATAATTAATTATTTTGATTTATTTCGATTAATACTGAATCGGTTTTGTGCAAGTAAACGCTCATATTTAGTCAATAACTTCGACAACCACATCATGTTTACAGTGCACACAACTACTCCTGTTTTTCTCAACATGCGGACAGGAGACCCATCTGTCAATACATGGGAAAACAAAGTAATTTGCGTTACTTATTTGAAAAGTAACTTCGATATTTTATAGTAAACGTAACGCGTAGATTACGTAACACGCATTACTTGTAATGTGTAACCCCTAAAACTGGTGATAACTGGCCTGACATGAAAATTTTTACTATAATTACTACTTTTATCATATAGTTGGCCATTACCTATTTATTGTGGTGTGTTAATTTAAAGTATAACTTTTTTTTTTGTTTGTTTTTTAACCGTAACAATTATGCAAACTACCAAAATTGTCAATGTTTCAGAGTTGGGGCCTTATTTTGTTAATGACACTGAATAGTTATAGAACAGATCATAGTTATAAAACTGATATAGATCTGTTCTATATATCTCTCAAAATGTTTGTCGCTAGACTTCACACAATCTCATTGTCTCTTGCAGTTTCCGCCTCCCAGAGAAAACAGCCTTGCAGACCTGTGATATGGATACAGAGAGCTCACCTCTCTGTTAATTGAGTTCACAGCAGGTAGCTTTCCCTCAGTGGACTTCTCACTCAAGAGGGAACAAAGACCATCCTCTTCCTCGGCAGGTCAGAGTGGCTCATCAATAGCACAGACTTTAATAAATGTCACAGTTACGTGCCTCAGGTCCAACAGGCTAATTATTGTCGGGGGCCGTAAGCTCTTTAGTGATGACGGCCCACACTGTTCATTTATCCCACCGCATCCTCCTCATTTGGCAATGTTTCTGCTATGTTCATTCAGCGCATAGCATCATCACCCACATGCTCTCATTGAGAGCCTTCAATGCTCATTTCCTCCATGACAGTGATATTGTTTATACAGAGGTGGTTTGTTAATAATTCTGCCTGGTGTGAAATATTTCATGAATAATATCGTATTATATTAGGAATGGCAATTAAAAAATGTATGCTTTTAGTAATTACAAAATTGTTTTGTCATTATAAGAAATCTCTTAGAGGCAGATTACTTCCTTGGCATGAGTCAGACTGAGGAACATGTTTCTGTGGAGGAGTCTTTGACTATTTGCGTCAAAACGCCCAGATCTGTGATAGCGTACTCCTTCATGCAGGTCTGACTGACAAGAAGGAGGATGTGAGGGGATTGCTGGAGTCGAGGATGAAGATGTCGGTGGTAGAGCAGGAGGGCACAACTCCACATCTGAACAGAATGAAAACAACCCAGTTTACATGCAGGGTCAGGAAGCTGGAAGAAAATCTTGAAAAACAGCAAAACACTAAAGGTACACTATTAAAGATACACTATCAGACAAAGTTACAAAAGCTGTCGCTGAGGCAGTACCCTTTCAAAAGGCACACCTTTGTACCAAAAGTGTACATATAAGTACATAAATGTAAATATTAGAACCTTTTTAATGGGTTCTGTCCTAGTGACAGCTTTTGTACCTTTTTTTCTGAGAGTGTACATACTACACATACCGAATTTTGATGGAATTGTTCATCAAACTAATAGTGTTGTAGTGCAGTATGGCTACAGTTTTATGTTAACATTTCTTATACAAATATGCACTTCATAATTGCGCTTGTTATTTTATTTGTTCACAAATTTACACTTTGAACTAGTAAATGTTGGTCTGCTGTTATATTCAGCTTTGCTTTACCCATTATTGACATGTTGTGTGAGATAATGAAATGGTAATGTGGCAATACTCCAAACAAAGACTGCAATTTAGCAACAAAAAATGATCACATAAACAAACCAAATCAGTTCATTGTAATTTTCAGCAGTTTCATTTTACATTTCACAATCAATAGATACATTTAAGTATTAACATGGACATTTCATTACCAAGTATGCAATGTATATACTATATAATATACACACTAAATACAATACCGGTAGCGAGAAAGGATGCATTTAAGTAAGAGCAATTAAAATGAACTAAAATTAATTTAACTATGTATTTATTTCTTTTTTGCTAGAAAAGTAAAGACACAACGTGCCTTACAGACACAAATCATTTTCCTTTAAAAAAAAAGTATATGATTTATAAGTTGAATTCCAACAAATGTCCCCCAATGGGGATTTAAAATATCGCCATCTTTCATTTTGTCCCTGTAACGTAGGGTTTAGCATGACCACACACACACACACACACACACACACACACACAAACTGAAATGCCCCAAGCAGTCACTTTTCTTTATTCTGTCAATGTTTTGCATTGACGTGTGCCATGGTGTTAACAATGCTGCTGTAATGTTTTATTTTATTTTAAAAGATGATTTTAAATGATGGCTCTGATTGAATTTTGCTCTTAATTGTGTAAATGAATTAGCCTATTGTATTTGCACCTTCTCTAATGCTACTTGAGATGTTTATGTCTCGGGCTGAATTGCCACCTGTAGAACTGACAAAAAAGAGCACTATTGATGTAATTAATTCCATTACATAACTTCATTGAAGTTTTGTTACATAAGTTCCTCCCTGTGTTATTTTTTCCAGTGAGCATATATTTTTTAAACTGAATTTTATTCTTAAAGACACTATGTCGTATTGAAAGGCCCAGCACACAACAGGAAATGTGTCACTTCTTCTTCTTCACCCGTTAACATTATTTGTTACCCAACTCTCTGGTGTTAATCCCGCTCACCCCCGGCTCCTTCTGTTGCCATGGATATGCCATCCCTATGGCAACTCGGGGCCTTTGTGGATGGTCTTGGGTCCTGACGGCGGAAGATTCATTACACATTCCCTTCCAGCTCCAAGTCAAATCAGTCAAAATGGGCGAGCTCATCTGCCTGCTACAGTACAGGAACCTCTGTAAAAATGTGCCACAGCACGGCTTCACAAACACATTAGGGGATTTGATCATCCGTCTTAAGCGCATCTACGTATGTTAAAGAGACCTAATGAAGATGACCTTTCCATTCCTAATATGGAATATGGAAGAGATAAAAAACTGTACTAAAGCAAACACTGCTAATGTCCCTGCTGAATTTGAATTAGCCAAATGACACAGTTGTTTTACAATGAGGAACAGCATCACTTGTCAGTGTTAACATTTTATATGAAAATAATTGGTGTCGAAACAATTGCTAGTAAATTTCAGAATTAATTACAAAGAAATGGCAAGTAACAATTAATATTCAGATATATTATCGATTTAACTGCACAGTCATCGAATGAGAACATATTTGTACTGACTTGAGCTGGACAACGGACAAACTTTGTAACAGTGATATAGTTATTTAACTGAATTGAATGAACATTGAACTGACTTGAGCTAATAATGACACTATTGCCTTTTGTAGAGCTGCTTATAGCTATTGATGGACTTTGCCAGATTGATAGTTATTGAACTAAACTGAGCCGAATAATGACACACTGTAAACTGTAAAAATTGTATTTGATTAAATCAGTTACATCAAATTTTTTAAGTTGAGAAATTCAAAGTTTAAGTAAGCAGAACTTGCGTATTTTTATATTGTACTCAGACATTATAATTGGTTTTAACTTGGAATATTTGAGTAAGCCAATTCATTCATTTAACATAAAATTTTCATGTAATCTCAATTTAAATATTTTAATAGGGAAAACTTGGATAACTTTAATTTAGGGCTGTGCAAAGATTAATTGCCATTAATCGCATCCAAAATAAAAGTTTGTTTTTACATAATATATGTGTGTGTGCTGTGTATAATTATTTTGTATATATAAATACATATGCATGCATGTATATATTTAAGAATTATCTGCACGTAAACACTGTATATATAAATACATAATTTATATTATATATATATATAAATATAAATATTTTATATATGAATAACACATTTTCTTAAATATATACATGCATGTGTGTGTATTTTATATATACACTGTAAAAAATATTGTTGGTTTAACTTAAAAAGTAAGTAACCTGGTTGCCTTAAAATTTAAGTTGATTGAACTCGAAAAAGTGAGTTAATACAATGAAGGAGATTGATTTAATCATCAGAAACTCAAAATAATAAGTTATCTCAACTAAATAAATTATTTAAGTTGATTTGACAAAAGAAAAAACGTTGTGAAAACAAATCTTGAAAATATTTTGTTTACAGTGAATAATTATACACAGCACACACAAATATTTTACGTAAACACAGGCTTTTATTTTGGATGCGATTAATCGCAATTAATCTTTGCACACCCCTACTCCGTATTAATTAGTTAATTCAGGAAATGCTAACTTGTTATTTGGTAACACAATGCTTTGATATCATTAGCATAGCATAACAATTGCTGAATAAACACAACAAGAACATTTAACATCTGTTGTCAAACCAAGCTCCCCAAAACACCCCAACAGAAACTTCTAAATTAGCAGAGCTACGCATGCAGGCTAAAATTATGGCAAGTTTCTCTCAAAGTTATGAACAAACGTTCCCCTTGTAACGTTAGAACGTCTGTTCAGAGTTATCTGGTCTTTAATAATGTTCTCAAAACATTAGCACAAAAACATCGTTCATGAAATGTAACATTCAAAACACTCTTAGAATTGTTAGCCGGGATCTTTTTATAGAGCTGCTTTACAGCTGAAATTGAGTTTGTTTCATAATTGATGAATGTAACATTAACACTCTTATTAGTGTGAAGCAGCTTTGAAACAATCTACGTATTATGATGACTCATCTTGACTGATGAGGATATATGCTAAAGAGCCAGCTTCATTCATAAATAATATTGCAGTGTCTGTTAGTGACCTCAACCCATGTTATGCAATGTGTTTTTGGTTTTATTACAGGTATATCTTTTGTCCCCAGCAGTGACACTCTGACTCCTACGTAAACAGCACTTGAAAAGATTTCAAGAGATTGGGACCATCAGGTAATTTAGTCATTTATGCAGATGCGTACTTTAAAATCACACATCTTTTGACGCTTTGGATTAGTTAAAAGTGTATTTCTAAATGGGTGACAAAAAAAGTGTCTGCCTAACAGTTTTCTTTGTGCATGTTTATTAGTTAAGAATTAGCAGCAGAGAAGAGACATTCTGAGTCGATTTTTAAAGCTACACTGTGTAACTCTTTTAGTTTATTCTTAGCTAAAAACACTTAGTTCTTTCAAAAATATATGTGCTCATTAATGTATATTTACTTCGTTCAAGTAATAAAGTATTCTCGTGAGTGTATAATATGTCATTGAAAATACATACGGGTAAGGGGTTCTAATGTCGGCCGCCATGTTGCCGCTCCATCTTGAAAGTACATTAGCCAAAGAGGGACATACCCGTTAATTCAAGCTTCGGCTTTCGCATTTACGTTTGAGTTAACACTCATGGACGAGGTCGAACTGGACGCCATGTTAATCTTGGACTACATTGGCCACCGTAGGAGTTAAAATGAAATCGGAATTGAGAGGAACAGACACTAATATTCACTTAATGATCATAGACCTTTTCACCGCTAGATGGGGGTAAAAATCACACAGTGTAGTTTTAAGGATCAAGCACACTATATTGTTCAACACATTTAACTGAGTTTATTTGCTTACAAATGCATGGCCCATTTGGCCATTCAGCGTAAACCCTCAAGTAGCATGAGTCTGTTATGCCTGGCTTGGCTTTCCTACTCAAATGATTAGTCGCCTTCAATCAGACCCAAATTAGTTTGAAGGGACCAAGCATGAATCCGGCAAGGTAACCAGAGCCCATGTTTAAAGATGTATGAAGAGCCTTGAGGAGAAAGTAGAGTCTCTGTTAACCCATTTCACAAACAGTGAAACTTCCATACAGTGATCTGCTTCTGTAAGCACGCGTGGGACAGCCAGACGGGGCAGGTGGGGCGGTTCCACCTGCCGAATGAACGCCGTCAGTATTGGGGAGTACCATGGGCTACGGGTGGGCTCAGCCCTGCTCAGTATCGTAGCAGGTTGTATCATCATTGGCGTGTCAAAGGACTGTGATGCAGATGCGGTAGGGGGGATTTTCCTCGGGGCAGGGGGGCTTGGTAAGTTGTGATTCTCTCTGTCTGACTGGCCAAATCCACCATAGATATCTAAGGGAGATGCATCACCCTAATATTTAGATTAGCGAGGGATTTTCCAATGATTGATTCCATCACTTAATACTGTACATTCATCTTTAATTGTCTTTATGCATGGTAAATTCAATGTTTATTGAAAGAATAGTTCAACAAATATTCACCCTTATGTCATTCCAAATGTGACTTGTTTTCTTCTTTTGAACTCAAAAAGAAGATATTTGTCAGAATGTCCAAGCTACCCTTTCCCACACATTGGGAGTTAAATGGTGAACATGGCTGTCAAGATAGATTTATTTGTTAATAATGGCTTAAATGTTATTTATCATGACTTTTGAAGATTCAATATATAACATTGAAGTAATTTTTGTCGAGCTCTAAAAAGCAATTTCTAAAACAATTTCCCCATTCACTTTCACTGTGTGGAAAAAAATCAGCTTTGACATTTCACAAGTTTAGAATGAAATGAGTGTGAATGACATAATTTTCTTTTTTTGTGTGTGTGAACTATCCTTTGAATTTGCTGCATGAATCTGAAGGGGTTTGCAGTTAGTTCTCTGCTGCTTCACTGACTATTCCACAGTGCATGGCTCTTTTGCATATCATGCATTTTTAAAACTACATCTAATCTCTGCTTCATATCATCACACTTCCATCTCACATCATTATTCTTTACCATATGTCAACAATAAATAAACCTATATCAAGAAGGATGTTGGAAATGGCTCCATACTGTAGTATCATCCTGCAGTCACTCACTGTTGAGGTTCCTCAACAAAAAAAAGGCTCATCCATCATTTGATCCAGGTCTGTAATCCAAGCCACCTGCTTACGATGGTGTAATCTACACAGGACCCTGTCACAATAGAGCTGCACAACACACGCTTTGATCTATTGTTTACTGCTGGAGAAAAGTTGGCATTACCTGTATAGGCCCTTGAAAGTACATTTAACTGTCAAGTCAGATGATCAAGCTGATTGGCAGCTATGAACCTTTGTCAAAGTAGAAGCCATTTATATTTGAATGTGAATGTGGCATTGTTTTATAATATTAGTATTATTTATATCACTTTAAAAAATGCTGGTTTGTTACAACCAGTGTTGGGTGTAACTAATTACTAAGTAATTAAATACAATAAATTAGTTAGCCACATTAATCAAAATCAAAAGTTGTATCTGTTCATATTATTCAATGGACCTGAGCATACATGAACTAACAATGAACAGTTGCATTTGTATTAACTAACGTTATCAAAGATTAATTACTTTAACAATTGTATTGCTCATATAGTTAATGTTAGCTATACTTATCGAAAAATAATCCCAACATATATTCGGTGCAGTTATTAATTGTTATTATTACTAAATCCTTGTTTATTGAACTTGTAGCATCACACTTGCAATCTTGCTGATGGTTTGAATATTGAAACGTGTCAGCAACAACCTCACAGTACAACTTCATTCGTGTCAAATCTACCTAGACTAAAGTCCTATTCTTGAAGCCATCTCATTGCTGGCATGGATGCACACATTGGCTCTGAGGTCTTTATTGGTGCATGAAGATCTCTCCTGTCAAACTGGACAGATCAACCACCGTGATGGATTCATAAGTCTGGGTCTGAGTTAGGAGAGAAAGACTGGAGGAGGTTAGAGAACAAAAATGACAAAGAAGAACCAAAAGAAAAAAATAGAAGGAGAGGCACGTGGTAAAAGAAGCCCCTCAGCATGCCGCAATCATACCTGCCAGTGGCCTCTCATAAAAGAAATTGGCCAAAACACAAAGCCAGCAGAGGTGCCTCGTCCTTTGAAAAACGGGAATTGATTCGCAGCTTGAATAGTGGTTGCATAATCAAAATCCAGCACAGTCCCTGCAGTTTGTCTCGCCATCAGCCTCAGACCTCTCGAAAACACAAGGAGATTGACAGGAGAGAAAGAACTCAAATGCACACTTTTCATTATAGCCACAAGGATACAAGAGGTTTTAGGGAAGGCATGTCAAATTAGAGTGAATGACTTTTGAGACTTAGAATAATCTTAGCATGAAACACATTAGCACCCTTTTTGTGGCAATTCACAATTGCTTGGTTTCTGTCCGCTTGCCTTTAATAATGTGCAAATTTCGGTTCAATTTGCAGTGTAATGCAATATGCATGGGGGGGACGTCTTTAGTGTGCAGCTCTAGCTCAGCAAGCCAGTGAACAGAGATAAATCCTGTAATATTAGAGGTAGACTCTGAAAATGTGAAAATGGTATTATTATGCTGGTTTGCATGTCTGTCTGGTTGGTTAAGACAATTAAGACAAAAAACAAGGTGGGAACATTCAGGTCTTGTCAGCAGGACATGAAGGACGATGAGTGAGCATTTCAGTTCTCTGTGTGTGTTCTGCAGGTCTCCTCATTGCCGTCTACCCTTTCATAAGAGCATGGTTCAACTTTCATCACATACTGCCCAATATAGGTAAGACTACATAATATTATATTTTACAGCAGCCATAACACACAGCTGTCCAAAATTCAGAATTTAAGAATGCTATTTAGAAAAATTTAGCAGGTAATTACTTTTTACAAATAAGGTCAATTTGTCAATTGGTTATACAGTATACACTGTAAAAATGAATACGACTGAATATGTTAAATCTAATCAATAAAATTGAGGCAACAGATTACTATCAATATTATTAATTAAATTTAACAAATTAGAATTAAGTAATAATTAACCAAATGAATTACTTAAAAGTTAACCATTTAAAATGAGTATAATTTACACATTTTTTAAAACAAAAATATCACAAAAACAGACTAACGTCAAAGATGAATTGACGTTAGTCAGGAAATAAAAGCTGAACTTTTGACTCTTGTCTCATACTCATCTTTTGTCTTCAGATGGCTTTTATATTTGACACCCAAATGTCTTCAGTGAACAACAAAAAAAGGAATTTGCCTTACCGTTTCAATACTTTTGGAGGGGACTATATGTATCATAATAGGGAAGAAAAAACATTGCAACATGCATTTCATGCCAACTTTAAATTCAAATGCGTTCTTTATGCTCCCATACTTACAAAAAACTTCCAAATTCCATTCTGAATGGTGCCTATCAATTATATTTAAAAGCTTTAATAGATTTCACTAAAGAGGCGATCTTGATTAAGATTATGTTGTGTAACATGAGATTTGTTTGCTTTTGTGATGAGAGACCATGCATGTTGCAACACATTTAGGATAATCGGGATAATCTTATTTCCTCAGGCAACTTCAGAGTGCACCCAATGGCTACAAATTCAAATCCAGTCCCTGAACAGCCTGCGGCTTCACTCACACGAGAGGGTAAGTGACTGTTACATGTCACGTGGATGCGCACACACAAACCCATTCAGACATATCTCTCTGGTTCCAGTCACACAATTGAAAACTGATAACACCATTTTAGAGTAACTATATTTTCTCCGGGTCAATGTAGAGCTGTCCACTGCTTTTCATTTACACTCTCTCTGGCCTGCCGGATCTGAGGCAGGAGGCCGTGACAAAGTCCTGAGCTCTGTTCCAAGCTAATATAGAGCCTTGCCAGTGGGTTATTTCATGTGAAATGGTATTATGGATTTAATGGGTAATAGCTAAAACTCTAATTCCAATAAAAATGAATTTTTACATTCTAACCGTTTTGATTGATAATAGCTGCAACTCTTGTTGAACTTAGCCGAAAACAGCAATCTCAGTACCCTAATTGAAACACAACCACTGCCATAAAACAGATTATACTAAACACAGTGTTCCTGTTGCTGAAACAGTGGAGCATGGGTTTGATTTCCAGGCAACGCATGAATTAAAAAGCATATATAGTTTGGATGCAATGTAAGTGCGTTTGGATAAAAGTGTTGCCAAATGTGTAAATTTAAACTTTTGATAAGTATGACACACATATGTAAAGACACCTTTACCACCAATTAAAAGCATACAACTAAACCTATTTTTTGTTGAATCAAATGTCTTGGTTACACTTCATTTTGATAGTAGACTTTAGACATTCTACTAACTATAAGCAACTGTCAACTAAAGCCACATATCCAACAAAATTACCCGCAACAATTTGTCCCAGAAAAAAAAAATGCGTAAAAAAATCAACCAATCAGCATGTTCAGCGCCCAAGTCCCACCTCTGAAAATTCCTGAACTTTAAAAAAGTACTATCCCCTGAGCAGAGACTTTCTGTGGGGGATTTACTCCATTTAGACCCTCGTTCATGCGGTTGAAACACACCGAGTACCACCTCAAAGTCCCTAGCTCTTGGGGAAAGTTCCTGCAGTGGAAACGTGGCTTAACTCTCGTTAATATGCAACAACATGTGAACTAACTCTCATTAGAGTTTTAGTAGACTGTAAGGTTAGGGTTGGGTGTAGTAGAAAAAGTTAACATACTTAAAGTAGCTGTAAGAAATTTATTTCAAATAAACCTAAAATGGCCCTGATATGTCACTAGACATTAAGAAACCATGTTCATTTCAAATACTTAAATCACTGACAACAGTAGTCCAGCCAGGATATTGTCATTTAAAAAGTGAAGTTGCAGCCCTCCACTGATGTTGATGTTGTCATGTTGTGTTTTGGTCTGATGCTCCACCGTCCACCTATCCACCAATCACGCTCTAGAATCCATGGGTTTAAAACACCTCTTGCTCAAGACCGTTTATCTGATAGCTCTGTCATCAGTAAAACGTGCAGGGGATCTACACGCGCTGTCTACCAGCCCAGCGTGTCTCGAGTTCGGACCAAATGACTCTAAAATCATTCTCAAACCGAGACATAGTTAAAATATAGAGATTGATTACTGTCATGATATTGAGACGTCAACTGGATGATTAACTCAGTCTGCCTTTATTTACACGTGCCGTGTCAAAACAGAAACTCACAGACGTTTTTTAGCCCGCCCCCGTTGCCCAGCAACCTGGACCCTTAAGCTAACAGTCAATTCCAACTTGTACAAATATCACCACAATTACGTTGCTCAGAAGAGAGAAAGATGTAAAATTTGTGAGCACTACCTGTTGTTTTTAAAAATTAAAATATGTAAAACTTTCTGTAAAAAATTATTGTTGGTTTAACTTAAAAAAGTAAGTAACCTGGTTGCCTTACAATTTTAAGTTCATTGAAATTGAAAAAGTGAGTTAATACAATGAAGGAGATTGATTTAATCATCAGAAACTCAAAATATTATGTTATCTCAACTAAATAAATTATTTAAGTTTTGACAAAAGAAAAATGGTTTTGATTACAAATCCTGAAAAGATTTTTTTACAGTGTAGATTTTCAACATTGATAACTGTGGAAACACATCATCATCAGTCAGTGAAAAGGGTCCATAATCCGACAGCGTTTGTGACCTCTTGTTGAAGAAATTAGTGAACGAGCAACATTATTAAACGGTACTTTGAAACTTTTGGAACAGTGTTTTATGCACTTTAAGTTATGAAATGACAGCAGTCATGAGATAGGCAACCAGGAAACCATCAGAAAGCTCACTCTTTGCCCTGCTGTGGAAATTACATTGACACGTAATCCAAGCAGCCCAGCGTCCCTCATGCAGCAACTGTGTGTCCTTGTTACCTCCTCACCGGCCATTTCCTGCGTCAGTCCGCACATCTGTTTCAACTCTATACATATTGCACAGTCGTTATGAGATTTGTGCTCCGATGAATAGATTGATGATCTGGGAAAAAAATTCTAATTTGATATGATGCCTAATTTCCTACAATAGATTTTTCTTGTTTTTTGTTTTGCAAAGAAGATACACTTATGTTATCAGACCGTAAGGTTTTATATCTGTGTGCATGTGGCTTGGCAGCAAAAGGCTATAAAAAGAATGATTATGCAGTAAATTTTCGCGGCCTGTATTATGCCCTCAGAGCACATGGCAGTCATGCACTGAATTATGTAAACAGGCAACAGGGATGTGTTCAGCAAATGAACAGCAGTCTCATTCTGTGGTCTCTGTCTTTCTCAGGCATGTGATCACCCAGACAAACAACAGAACAATTAAACTGTTTTTCCCCATTCAATATGATTGTACATTATTACTAATAATACTACTACTAATAATTATAATGGTAATAGTTGCATTGCTGTGCAATCCCTCAGAATGCCAGTATAAATTTATGTAGGTCAAACTTCAGGTCGGAAAATACTAAAATCTGTGTAAAATGGAAAAACCCCATGCCTGCTTTTTCTGTCTCATTCTTAGGGACTCAAAACCAGCTTAATGTAGAACGATCAAAGAGCCGGATGGGGACATTTGTGGAGACAGCAGCTTCTACAGCAGCCGAGAGCTTACAGGATGATGGGTGAGACAAGTGTTTACAGCCTCTTCTAAAACAACTCTATCGTTTAAAATCAGCACAAGAGCTTAAGGGTACGATGTGTTAAAAATTGTACACTTTTTTCTCGTATAGACAGCAATGTTGTCAAAACGATACTGTTCAGATAGATCCATGAAAACGACTAAAAACGCTGTATCATGCATGTCAGGCCAGTAGTTGGCGATATCACTTTGAAAAGAAACACTCTGTGCCAATAGACTGAAAACATCGCTTTCTCAAATTCACTTTTTTGTTGTTTACATGGGGACGAAATTGGTATCGTTTTCAAAAACTTTACTTAAGTTTTCCGTTTTTAGTGTCGTGCAAACGGCCCCTAAAAAAGCAATTTCATCTATCCAGCTTTTGACCTGCGTAAATCATTTTTGTCACTTACATATTCATAACTTTACATTAGTGAGGTATACCAGATACAAATTAAACTCATTACATTTGCGACACAGTGAATTCCCTCTCTCAATATGGCAGTCTTTCTCTAGGGCCAGAGAGTAATTTGATTCTTCTAGCAGGCAGTAGTGCCAAACACCACACATCTTTGTGGCTCACTGGAGACTGAGAGAGGCTTTTTGCTCCCTATTGAGCTCACAAATCATATTCTATGCTAGGAGCCAATCACTTTCAGGACATTATTTTGATCGACCCTCTTTGTGGCATGATTTTATGGTTATATAAGAAATGTAGCGAGATTTGCCAATTTTCTCAAATCTTTCACCTGCATGAGTTGGATTTTAATGTGCATTGTACAACCCGAAAGTCTTTTCCGATTGAATACACCCTCTTAAAAAAGTAAAAAGGAAGGTGTTGACCACTTAACACTGACTTACACTGCTGCCTTCACTCATAATGACATTTATGTTGCATGAGGACCCATACTTGGCGCTGCCTCTTCAACTTAGAAAAATATGCATACAAGCTGTATAAACATGCACATACACTGTAAAAAAATTTAATGATTAATAAGTTATGACAACATGTTTTTTACATTGCTTTAATTCATTTAAATAAGTTAATCATTTTTATTAAGTTATACAAGATTCAACTCATTTTTTAAAGTCAGTTTAATGTCATTTAAGTTGAATGACTTAACCAAGTTAATGTACTTTATTTATGGCAGCAACTTTTTATTTTATTTTATTTTTTTACACTGTACATTTAGACATTTTGAGCATTGTATTTTTTCCTCCTAGGCCTTCTGCAGATGTTCCAGATATCTTGGGCAGGCGCAAGTTTAAGGTGCCATCTGATCAAGACCCTTCATAATGGCTTCATAAAAAAATAACGAGCAAAAAATGAGAGATCGCCTGAATTCTTAAAGTGATAGATCTCCAAAGAAATGAAACCACCGTCATCATTTTCTCACCCTCATGTCGTTCCAAAGCTGTATGACTTTGTTTTTTCAGTGGAACATTAAAAAAATATTTTGAAGAATGTTTCATCTGGGTTTGTGCATACAATGAAAGTCAATGGGTTTTAAGCATGAAATGGATCAAGAGGCATCTTTGCCATCTTGCCGGTCTTTGCCATCCTTGTTAGCGTGCCCCATTTCCCATCCCCAAAATGCCGGTTTGAATCCAACTCGGAATGGGTCGAGTAGGACCAGTTAAATTTGGTGCCATGACCCAGATGGTAGTCAGGTTTAAAGGGGTAAATGTAACAGAAGAAAGCAAGAGCTGTGTGATTAAACCTCACTCCCCTGGTCTCAAGAGCCGCACTAGCGACTGACACTTAAGGCTGAGGTCTTTTGCGTCCTTGTTAGCACACCTGCCTCCCATGCCAGAGATGTCAATTCGAATCCCGCTTAGAGCAGGAAAAGTAGGACTGGTTACAAGAACATCATCTGTCATCATTTATTGACCCCCATTACATTCCAAAACATGTATTACTTTCTTTTCTCAACAGAACACAGAACAATAGTTTAAAGAACAATGGAAACCAAAAAACAAGATTGAACCCACTGACTTGCATGGAACAAAGAGCGCTGAAACACTTCTCAAAATATCTTCTTTTGTGTTCCACAGAAAAATGACTCTCATACAAGGTTGGACCCACATGATGAGTGGATGACTGAAGATTGAATATTTGTATTAGTTTTGAATTGAGTTCTGAATTCCTCATTGCACACATGCATCTCAGAGACAATTGTTTTGATGTACATGCATTTTTTTTTCAGCGTTCGCTCAACTGAAAAACATCTGTAAAATGTTTACTGTCACGTTAAATAGACATTTAAAAAGCGTCTTTAAGATGTTAATGACTATAAAACTTTTTAAAAGATCAGATATTTGACATTTACATTTATTCATTTTGCAGATGCTTTTATCCAAATGAGGAAAACAAAAAGTGATTCATCTTAAGGAGGCAACGACAAGAAAAGTGATATAGCAATACAAAGTTTGAAACATCATTTCATCTAGAACAGAAAAAGCTAGAAAGGAATTCGTTTTTTTAAGAGTCAGTATGGATGCAGTTAAGTGCTCACTTAACAGACATCTTGAAGATGTATGTGTGCTATTTGGGATTGGACAAACCGAAATGCTTTTTTGCTGGAGACTCAATGAATAAAATGTAGAAACTCAATTATTACATACAATTCTATTAAATGTATGTCTCAATTCCATCTGGTCTTGTCAACACACACTTATAAACACTAGTTTTTCTGATCTGCCTTCTCACCGACATACTTTTAGCTTAACGGTAGTTCTTTTGGAGCACTAGAAGTGACTCAGACGCTCACGTACTGTGTGAACATGTAACGTGCGCGGCACAGAATCATTGTGCATCCCACGCAGACCATCAGTGACACTCTAAGGCTGAATATGCAGTATCTGTCCTTGCATGGTGACAAGGAAGAGGGACACTGCCTGCTGTTGCTAAGAGCTCTGACGTACGCTAATGACTGAATTATACACCATTGTACCGGGTGTCTCACACAAAAGCACTAAAGAGAGAAGTTAGTTTCAGGCGAATAGGAAAAAAATAATTGCATGATGATCTGAAGAAACAGTACAGCTTTTTCAAAAGGCAGTAAACGATAACTACAGAAAGTCATTCACCAAAAATTGTACTGATAAAATGAGAAGTGAGCTGTGTGACTATTACAGTGCTCATGGTGATATTGTGATGTATATATAGTGACATGCTCATGGCCAACACAACTATCTAAAGTACACTAAAGGATAATGAGGTTTCATAATGACGTATTTAGTATAGATGACCTTACACAAATGTACCACGTAACCATAGCTGCAGACAAAGTATGATGACAATTCAGGCATCGATTAAGTCTCATGTTCACAATGTGAGTATAATATGATTGGTCCTATAAGGCTCCTTTTACAAAGTAAAACCTTCACATCATATTTATATCATGGTAACCATCCCACATGAATTTATTATTATTGTACACAAATAAATTAGGCCTAACTACTGTATTTTGCTGGAAATTATTAGACTTGTAAATGATGGTACATTTTTGTGATGGGAGATATATCCTGAGAAAAACAATAGAAACCATCACAGAAGTTCTAATGGTCTCCACTTAAAAAAACATAACAAACCACCAAGCGTTAACCATTAAAACCATCGCCTAATCAATGTTTTTGCTAATGCTGTTGCTAAGTTTGTGGTTTTCCCGCAGAATTGGGCTACTTAAACTACTATACGGGTGCTGACCCCTCGCTGTTTAGAGAAAATAAATACAATTCGAATTTTGTGAGAAAGGGGCCTTTGAGCTCCCTTATGAAAACAGGCCACAAGTGATTGTTTTGTTTAATTTGTTTATAATGCATAACAGTAAAATTTGTATTTTAGGTATGAGATTGGGATTGTGTTGAGTTGTGATATTATTGGGTCACTGGGCTTGTTTTGGTCTGTTTTTGATTGGCCTTTGGGCTGGTTTTGTTACACAGACAGACCTGGCAATATTCCATTAGGAATGGTTATACGCCAGAAGGCAACAAATTACCAGTAAAGAACCATATGGAACATTACAGTTTCCAGTAAAACCAATACATTTTCCATTATAATCATTAAAATCATTTGAAATTCTACACTGTTAAAAAAATAATAAAACAAAACCCTTGCCACCTTCAATTACAATCAACTCGGATGTTTAAGTCATTACAATTTAAATTACATTAAACTGACTTTAGAAATTAAATGAATCTTGTATAACTAATAAAGTTATTTTGATAAGTTAAAGCAATTCTTTTTATTTTATTTTTTTTACAGTGTTTAAGGGTGTTTTTTTTTTCAGAGGACATCTAACCATTTTTTATTATGCCCAAACACTATAGATCCTGCTTGTAAATTCTGCAAATTTACAGAATAATAATTTACAGCAAAATACAGTTGCTGGATTTTTAATAATGTATTGCTACTACTAAAATCATAATAAATACATGTGGGGTGTCTCAAACAATGCGTGTTTATTTTTATTCCAGTAGGCTACTTTAAGCAGTAGGCCTATGATATTTTGGGCAGCACAATCTGTTTGACGGATTCGTCTGTCCTACTATCAGAAGCGATGTGAGAGCTGAGAACATATAGCTGATGATCATGATGAGAGGGTTCCTCCTCCCTACACACTCATTGAACACATGCCCACCCGCTCATTCAGTCACACCACTGATGCACTGATCAACACGGGCTCCTGTGCAACCTGTTACTGCCAACACGAATGGAAAATATCACAACTGTGAATTATTATTTTTTCATTTTGTAAAGAATATTGGTCTAGAGAGAGAAATCTTGTCAGTCAGAATCTGCCGAGACTCGAATCCAGCGCGTGGAGCGCGGCTGACGTGCATTGAGTGACAGCGGTATTGATCTTAATAATATGACTCGGGTAGCGGAACCCGCGTGAAAGACGCCGTATTTTTTTTAAAAACGGCTTTTTTTCGACTTCGGGAATTAAACGACAGGCTTTGAACGTATACCCAGAGAAATTCATCATCAAGCCTGTACAATTCATCTAGACGTCGACAAAGCGGTAAGACATTTTCTCGTTCAAGAAGAGACGCTGACAATATTTCTAAATCACTGACTGACTGTCTGTCTTCATACACCATGAAAAGCTCGCATGTGTTTGTTTAAACGATGTCTTTCACCTCATTTTATCGTCTCATGCGCTTATCACAACCGGTAGGGGTAACACACGCATAGAGGATGCTCGTTGCTCCAATTAGTACCTACGCATTTAACAGATTCATCACACACAGACTAGTTAATGAAACAACGTGATTTAAACGGGTATGTGTGAAATTATTCGCTTCCCAAGTCTTCAGAAAGTAAAATGTGACCTTGTTGTTGTGAAAAGCTCCAGAACAGCTGCATATAAGGGAAAATATGACTGTGAAAACATCTTTTTTTCCCAGTGTCATGAGCCATTGTCAAAAATATGTAAAATTATATAGTAAATGGGAAATATTACAGTATGAATTAGTTATCTGTAAGTTAGTTTAAGATATTGTAACACAAGTTTTACAAAAACTTAGTTCACCCAAAAATTCTGTCATCATTTACTCACCCTCGTGTCATCCAAACCTCTAACACTTTTGTTCATTTTTGGAACACAAATGAAGATATTTTAAATAAAATCAGAGCAAAATCTTTCTGTCACTCCATTGACAGCTGCGCAACTAACACTTTGATGCTTCAAAAAGATTGTAAAACTTGAGTTTGTAAAACTAATTCGAATGAATCGAGCAGTTTAGTCCAATTTCTTTGAAAAGACACGATCACTTATGATAAACAGATTTAATTTAAGTTTTTATTCACATAAATATCCATCAACTCACACATTTGTGTTAAACAGAAGCTCAAACATGTTCGCTTGATGTGTGAGAACCAATGAGGTTCATTCTCATGTTACGTAGCATTTCAGCTTCAGCAAGAACCAATGAGGTTCATTCTCTTGAATGAGGTTCACCCATGAGATTCATTCCGCAAGAACCAATGAGGTTAATTCTCGTGTTACACAGCAAGTTTGAGCTCCTGCAAGAACCAGTGAGGTTAATTCTTGTGTTACTGGGCACGTTTGAGGTTCCGCAGGAACCATTGAGGTTCAGAAGTTTGAGCTTCTGCAAGAACCAATGAGTTCATTCCGCAAGAACCAATGAGGTTCGTTCTAGTGTCACGCAGTATGTTTGAGCTTCCACAAGAACCAATGAGGGTCGTTGTTATCGCGGATCAAGCAAGTTTGGTTAAGCTTCTGTTTTCGTTCGCTTATGTTTACTTTAGTCTATATGTGAATCAAAGCCTAAATTCAATTCGTTCATCATATGAAACGATCGTGTCAAAATTTGGACTAAATCACTCAATTTAAATGGATCAGTGGTAGGAACTGACTGGCTTAGATTTAATTAAAAATATCTTAATTTGTGTTGCAAAGATGAATGAAAGTCTTACAGGTTTGGAATGACATAAGGGTGAGTAATTAATGACATAATTGAAATTTTTGGCTGGACTAACCCTTTAAAGGGATAGTTCACCCAATTATGAAAATTAGTCGATTATTTACTCACCCTGAAGCCATCCTAGGTGCATGACATTCTTCTTTCAGACGAATACTATTGGAGAGCAGAGTTGTGCTTCAAGTTCAAGGGTTACTCTTTTGGCGTAAATTGATGTGTAGGCCATCTGCCCGAAGCTAGTTATTTTATAGTCGATAAAGTTTTGAATATGGATATTTTTCTTACACTAATGCATCACTTTGCTTCAGAAGGCCCTTATTAACCCCCAAAGAGCCGTGGAACTCTTTAACCATGAATAGATGCGCTTTTTTGATGGACTTCCAAAGTCATACAGCCATTCACTCCTATTATCAAGCTTGGAAGAATACTCAGATTGTATTTGTCTGAAAGAAGAATGTCATATACACTTCAGGGTGAGTAAATCATGGGCTAATTTTCATTTTTGGGTGAACTATCCCTTTAATTTCAAAATTACTTTATAATTTACATTAAACTTACCACAGAAACTGATTTTGCCAAGTACACGTTCCACGTTTAACATCTTTGTTGATCCTGGAATAATATTCCATTCAACCAATCAGATTTGAGGGTCATATGTACTGTTTATGTCAAATTTAGTCTTACAATCAGGGTTAGGTGTTTCTACATTGTTTCACCTATCATTTCTCTCTGATTTTAGGGATAAGTTACACGTTTTAGTGTCAGTGTTTGTCTTTATGTGCTCTGTGTTTATTATCATTGACCACAGTTGCTGGAGAAGTCAACTTTTGATGAAGTTTAAGTCATCGTGTGGCCTTCCAGTGTTATTCCCAGTAATTTAATTACATTCAACACTAACAAACTGAGCTAATAGCTCAATATATAGCATCTCATAATGCTTGTTACATTAAAGCTTGCAGTTTATAATAACACTCTGTTTCTTCACTACAGGTAGCGACCCAGCCGTATGAAGCAAGCACCCATTAAGAAGCAATGTTCTTTTCATACAATTTGCTGATAAGGACTTGGCGGTTGTGAGTGGGGTTGTGGCAGCAACGCTGTAACCGTGACCCTCGCCGATATGGTTTGCAGCGAACAGAGTTCTGGCACGTCAGTGCCCAAAAAGGAAACGCAGACCCGCAAGAAGCGTAAATCCCGCCCTCAGGGTCTGCCTTCTCCTGCCCTTTGCTGCGCATGTGGATTGTGTATTATGTTGGCGGGCATCAACATCACCTTAGTTGGCGCCTTCGCCTTCAGCACGCTTGTACCCTCTAGCAACCCCCCAATCATCATCGGACCGATACTCTTGCTGGTGGCGTTCTCCTTCTTCGGGGCTTGTTGCATCTGCAGCCGCTTGCCCCCGCCTCAGAGTTCTCGCCGGTCCAAAGCAGGTGGCGGTCTGGGCTTTATGGGGAGGGGCGGAGGGGGGTTAGGTGGAGGGGCGGCATTTGAGATCGAGACCAGCGAGCACACAATGCAGGACACCACAGCCGTGCAGCTCAGCCCCACCAACTCCCCCTGCTCCTCTCACGCCTCCAGCCCTGAAAGAGAGGCTCCCGCCACTGCCGCCAACGCCACCGTCCCCGCCCCGGAGTACGTCCCTCCACGAGCCTGCAAACTCTTCACTATGGAGGCCAACGGACCGAGCTCAGCAGCCTTTTCTGCATCGACAGGGGGTGGAGGGGCGGTCCGGCTCACTTTGCCCTCAGACTGCGCCGCCACCTAAAGCCGTCAATTTCGGTCGCTCTCTGGAGAAGGGCTGGTATTACGTTATGTAAATAGTTTTTCAGAAGGGAAGACAAGCACTGTGTGAGGAATTCATTTGATTAGCACAGCTGGCTTGCACCACAAGGTGCAATAACAATTGAAACGATTGCGTAAATCCAGCAGGTTGCTTTTTGGAGTCCACGAGGCCAAAACCCTGTGTTCCTGATAAAAATGACAGAGGTATGTGAGAAGCATATGAAGAGCTTTTTGTGTTCTCTTATGCTCTCGTATCAAAAGAGAGAGAGAGAGAGAGCCTTGAAAGGTGAATCACTGTGGCGTGCTTCACATATTCATACTGTGCCACTGTTACTCAGAGCATTCACAGTTACTGTGCTCAAAAGAGACAGAATCAGCTGTTGTGTAAAGATGGCTTTGGAGACGAGCCTAAGAAACAGAACGGAGAAAGACATTAGACTGCGCATTGTCATATGTCAGTGCACAGACCAAAAAACATGTTGTATATTTTGCTCTTAAATATTTTGTCTTTTAAAATACATTCAAGGGTAAGCAGTCTTTTTTTTCCGATGACACTCTCTGGCCAAACACTTTGGATTTTGTCTTTATTGGATGTTTAAATAAGCCGTGACACTGTGCGAAAGCACTGATGTTTTTTTCTTGTGACTTAGAAAACGAGGTTGCTAAGCAGTGCCATACAGTAGTTCGAGTTCAAATTGGATGACAGACGGAATAAACACTTTTGTAGAGATTATAATTACAATCATATCCGCGTTATTGAGCTGTTATTTATATTTATTATTTAATGAACCAACAGCTCATTTTTCTGTAAAAAAAGAAACTAGCCACAAGCCTTCAGTCTTTATTTGACACTGTGGTTTATAATGCTGCCAAGTAAAACGGTATTTCTTTCCCTTATGATTGCCAAAGGCTGTTTTCTCCTCTGAGTATCCCTCTTCTGTTGTCAATACTTGTCTAACGTCAACAGCACAGAAACATCTGAATATACTGCCTACATCTGCTCACAGTATTCTTCCACAATGTCTCGCTGTCTCTGTGCCCCATGGTTTTCCTTTGCCATTTGAAATCAAGAGCCAGAATTGTTCTCAAACATGCCCTCCATCACTGACCCACACTGATGGTTCAAACCAAACAGCGAAATCATTTCCCTCATGTTGATTCTACCAGAGAGGTCAGCTAAAAGCAGCTTTCGGCCGCCGAAAAAGCAAAGGGGGTTATACAGTTATAATAAAAATAAAAAAAATGAATAGGATCAAATGAAGTTTTTAAAATTAGCTACGGTTTTAGATTTTCTCTCGTTGTCATATTCATCAGTTCCAACCAGATAAAAGAAGGGCTGATTTTTAATGTAATCATTCTGTACTGGTGTTTCTTTTCATTTGCATCCATTTATGTACTATCAGCTGTGTAATATAGTGCTGTATATTTATTATGGGTGATGGGGTTCAAATGGGTGATGATGAGTGGAGAAGAAAGTGCAATATGTACTGCATGCTTACAAAAAGTGCATCAAGACTCCTCAATGAATTCAAGAGAAACATTAAACTAATTGATCCGCTTGTTTGTCACAGGATTGTGAGCGTTCCATCTAGTTTTAGGGGAACAAGAGAAGTTGAATGAATGAATTGAACGCTGCCTTAATAATGACAGTGATCTCAGGATCAAATCAGTGAGGGCTACTCAAATGTCAAATGAGAACATTTGGTTATGTGATATTAATGTGTTTATAGAGATGTGTTGTTCATTACTTTCTACCATGTGTGTTTTCAAACAGGTATTTAAATGGAGGGAAGTGCAATGAAAAGGTTTTGCTAATGCCGATTTGCGTTATTGTTATTAATTTGGCAAAAGGCCACGTTGAGTAAAATAAAGAATAGTGGGTTGTTTTAAGTATTGTTGGCACTGAAAAATTTAATTGTGTGTTTTGTAAGTTGTACACATCATAATTATACACTGTTTTACTCCCACATGCATAATTCAATTAGAATTGTGTCCACACTTGTTTTGACTCCTGTCTTTTCTGAACCCTTCTCGATCTTTTGACTATATCTGTGATGAAGATTCTTAAATGCTGTTTGACATTTTGTCATTTCAAGCAAAACTGCATTTGATGTAACATGGCTAGTGGCTACAATGGTTGCGAGGCCTATCCCGTTTACTTCACTGGACTGATGTCACAGTCTTCGTCTGCACCATCCTGTCTGCGTCATCTGCACTACACTTCCCAGAATCCTTTCGTCTGCACACCTGAACTCACTCCCTCATCAGCCTCCCGTTCAGCGTCCTGTTCATCTGTATCACCTGTCTTCACCTCATTATGTCTGATTCTTCTGTGTATTTAGTTCCCTCTGTTTCATTCTGTCCTTGTCGGTCAATGTTGAAAGTTACCCTGCGTGGTCCTGTAACCTGTCTTCCGTCCTGAATTAAGAATAAATATTGTTATTGGAATCCTGACTCCTCGTCCTCTTCGGCCTGCACCCACGCCGTGACAGATTGACCGACCCCCTAAACATGGATTCCTTCGTTGCGGTTCAACTTCTCTGCCTGGAGCAGGAGGACCGGTCCCTGGAGGACCATTTGACGGATTTCCTCTCCCTCATTCCATCCACAACCTTCCCGGACGACAGCCTCTGCAGCTTTCTTTATGCTGGCCTCAACACCGCCACCAGAGCGCAGTTGTCCGGGAACGGTCCCCCGGGGAGTTTCGCAGCATATGTGGAGTGGGTGCTGGTGTCCTGCGGATCTCCCTACACCATCGATGACGACACCAGCCCCACTCCAACGCTCGAGCCTTCCTCTCCACTGGTTCCGTCCAGCCCCGCTGAGCCCGCGCTCTCCTCTTCGCTGGTTTCGACCAGCCCCGTCCAGACCGTCCAGCCAGCGCCAGAGACCGTCCAGCCAGCGCCAGAGACCGTCCAGCCAGCGCCAGAGACCGTCCAGCCAGCGCCAGAGACCGTCCAGCCAGCGCCAGTGACCGTCCAGCCAGCGCCAGTGACCGTCCAGCCAGCGCCAGTGACCGTCCAGCCAGCGCCAGTGACCGTCCAGCCAGCGCCAGAGACCGTCCAGCCAGCGCCAGAGACCGTCCAGCCAGCGCCAGTGACCGTCCAGCCAGCGCCAGTGACCGTCCAGCCAGCGCCAGTGACCGTCCAGCCAGCGCCAGAGACCGTCCAGCCAGCGCCAGAGACCGTCCAGCCAGCGCCAGTGACCGTCCAGCCAGCGCCAGAGACCGTCCAGCCAGCGCCAGAGACCGTCCAGCCAGCGCCAAAGACCGTCCAGCCAGCGCCAGTGACCGTCCAGCCAGCGCCAGTGACCGTCCAGCCAGCGCCAGAGACCGTCCAGCCAGCGCCAGAGACCGTCCAGCCAGCGCCAGTGATCGTCCAGGCTGCCGCAGAGACCGTCCAGCCTGCCCCAGAGACCAGGATCCCACCCAGCCTCCCTCTCCCGCCTCCTCTCATCTGTCCTCCCTCTGCTCTCCTGCCCTTCAGCGCCCCGAAACCAGCCTGGTCGTTGGATCCCCGGGCCTTCGCCTCACACCTCCTCCACAGAGACACTTCCTCGGCCCCCGGTCCCATTGGCTTCCCCGTGGCTCCTACCTCCCTCAGCTCCTCCATGGCCCCTCAGTCCACCAGCTCGTCCAGGCTCCCTCGCACCTCTGGATTCCCTTTGGTCCCTCATCACCCGTCCTTCACCTCTGGACTTCCATTTGTTTGCTTCGCCCCGTCATTTCACCCCCCCCGCTTCAGTTGGATTCTTCACTGCCTCCAGTCACCCATCGGGTCACCCATCATATGTGGGCTAAAAGTGGGGTGAAAGCAGATACAAAAACGTACAAGATCGTACAAATTCATATAAATTAGCCACCAATTCACCAAAACATAAAATGGTTACAAATTGTTATGAGTGTTGGCTTTAAAAGAGGTTTACAAGATAGATGTAATTACCATCTTTAAAGTTCCCAACAAATTCACAATTCTTTCTTTTTTTATGGAACACTGCATTCATCATTTCATTCATTTATTTATATAGCTTAAATAAACAAACACATTGTGTAATGTAATCATTATTAATGATTTATCTGTGCACATGATGATGTATTCACTGGTGCGAGGGGACATGAAAAAATCACAAGCTGGAAAAAAAAGTGTTGTCAGTTCAACTTAGAAAATGTAGCCTACTTCACGTGGGAACATCTAAAATAACTTGTTTTCCACCTAGATGTAAATACACTTAAAAGATGTATTCATTTTCCTTACTTAAATGAAGATTTTTTTTTTACCCCTAACTTAACTTTCCTCCACATAACTTGAGACAGGGAAGTTCAAGGATTGAATTAATTATATTACTGTCAACATTAAGTGTGACAGGTAAGAATAAAGTGATATCAGTTCATAAAGTTATAATACCGTTTCCAGGAGATACACTGCTACATACAAAAATAAGTTATCAATGAAATAAATGAATTCAGCAAATAAATTTAATTGTACTAAAATGTAAATGTAAAACATATTTAGATATACAGGAAATCGCAATGGAAGATTTCGATATATCTAAATATGTTTAGTGAAAGTCCCTGTGAAATCAAAATTAAACCTATTTATTTTGTTAGTGCATGTTACTAGTCTTGTGGTGAACAATTAATCCGTGCAAGTAAATATATATTACATTTTTTTTTAATCAAAAATCTTTAATCAAAATCTGAATAGTTACTTCCGGTCTGGAACGGTTTCTTTTTCTGATGACGTAGGTTTCACAGCTTGGGTGGGGAAACGCTTAACCACTCCCCTCAAACCGTTAGTTTGCTATGAGCGAGAGATGGAGAGGAGGAGCGCTAGAGTAAAACCCTGCCCTCTGTTCAATATTCCGTTTCACTTGGAAATACGTCACAGCACTGGAGAAAAATCGTTTGCAACTTCCGGTTCAAGGGGACTTGAAAGGTAAAACTTCCGAAATCTCCATGTAAACAATGCTTGACGTACCAGACGCGCGAGAGATCACTTCGGCGTAACGTGTCGTTGGACACGGTTCTTGGACATCAGATCAGTTCGACGGCTGTTAACAAGAGGTAAAAACTATATAAATACTGTTCGTTTTCTCACACAAACCACTCGTTTCGTGCCTTTGGCCATCACTGTGTAGGCTACTTACATTCACGAGTCATTAAATCATGTTTAATTTTGACTTCTCTGTGCATTGAGGTGGGCTCCATGGACCTGCATTAATATGACTGACAGACAACAACGGTTTGACCAAAAAATGTCAACATTGAAAATCCTGTAGAAACAAAGACACCTACATCTTGGATGGCCTTGAGGTAAGCTAAAACTTATCAAAAAATGATAACATTAGGGGTCAGGGGATCTCAGAGATCCCCTGACCATTAGGCTACACTCTTATGGTTGCTCGTGAAGCTGTCCATATTGTGGAAAATCGTTTCAGCTCATATAAGTGCAATGTTCCAATCAATCCACCCCGAAATATTGAGAAAGAAAAAGAAAATGTGTTATGTGTGCGCCCTCAGTCGGTCTTTCATAAAACTACAGGTCAGAAGCATCAACTAATATTGAAAATCATATGGTTCATAACAATCTGGTTATTAAACAATACGTGCCTACTTCATTAGTCTGAATGACAGTGAAGTAGAATGACAGTGAATTTGACAAACAATTTGCTTTATTACTGTAACATATTTCTCTCCATTGGGACAAGTGCAAATACCATGTGTATTACATTTTTGCAAATGCATTAATATATCTGAATCATATGCCATCTTAAACATTGGTAAATAAATAAAGTATGTAAAATAAATCTGCTGATCTGCTGCTAGTAACGACAAACCAGTCTTGATCTGTACTTTACCTGTATAATTCACCATCCATTTTTTTCATTAACATTTCCCAGAGAAAACAAGACAAGACATTCCTTTATTTCTTTTGATATATCAGAGCCGTACTCTACAAGATGTCATCGTGTTCATTTAATGATTACACATTCACTTTGCTATCTCGTTTTACCTGAACCCCTGTTTTACATTTGTGATGCAATAAACTGCTCACAAGCCTCGCATCATACAGCCGTTTCTATGTCAAGATGATCTGATCAAAGAGCAAAGTTCTCTTGAAGTGCAAGTACAAGTACTTCTGTGTAAGAGACGAGTTTATCTAGCCATGCTTTAGCTTCTGACTGGAATTAATTAACGTGTTTATCAGCGTCTAGCTCTTAGTTCAGCTGTCCTCGGAAACCTTTCTTAGTTACTAAACAGAGTCACTCGCGGGGTCAGTTGGACTGACATAAAACACAGCCTGTTTTGAGGTTTGACTTCATGTTCCTTTAGCCAAAAACAATGATAGCTGGTACTACTCAGCATGAGCTCTTCTGAGAATGTGTTCATGTGTTGTTCCAGATGTTTGCAACATGTTGGAGGTGTTGTTTTATTACAACAAGCGTAAATAGATGATTAGTCACATGCTAACCCTGAGCATCATACATGACCCGGCATGACTAAAATGATTTACTGTCTGTGAGGATGGCAAACCGTGCTAGTGAAATGGAGCAATGTAATGTTATTGTAATTTGGAATGCAGAGGTCACAGTGAAGGTCGCCCTCCTGATCTACAATGGCTAAGCAACTGAAATGCAAAAAATAGAGCAAAAACAACAATAATCACAGTGTTGAATGATGACTATGATTTTTTCATTCATTCATTTGAACCAGCGATACTGAAAGAGCATATTTTTATGCTATTATAGTGCAGAATGCTAAAGAGCAGTGGAATGAATGAGTCAAAATATGTTTGGACAGTCTGTTACTAATTACCACTGCATATGCATTTTTGCAGAAGCAGGTTTTCATACACAATCGCCTAATATGATAACTGGCACCCAGTATTGGACGGCCCTTTCATGCAACCACATATACAGTAGCTACAAATGTAAGTGTCATGTACACTATTTGTTAGAGACTTGTTTGTAATACGAATAGGCCCCAAAACAGCGATAGTAAT